TTGATTGATTGATTGATTGATTGGTAGGGGATGGGTCTGGAGGCTGCAATGGCGCCCAGGAAAGGGAGGGGAGATCAGCCATTCGTTCCGGTTAGTAAGGACAAGCAGAGGGAGGCGGAGCTGAAGTTTTGCGGTTTTAAGTAAATTACGAAGGGCCAGACAATGCCGAATTTGAATGGCAATTTCCTCATGGAGTGCAAGCTGTGTGGTCAGGGGTTTCAGTGGAGCCAAACGAAAGCCGCACAGCACTTCACGATCAAGAACAATTGCGCCAAAGTCTCCGTGGAGCAAATGGCGGAGATCTGGAACAAGACGAAGTACGGGTTCGATCCAAGCCATCAACGGAAGATCATGGACTTTTTGAAGTCTCATGGGTTACGAGACAACAGATGTGGATCGGGGAGGGAGTCGGCGGGGGAGGAGGAGTTCGAGGACAGTGAGGACAAGAGGAGGGCGGTCGAGGGTGGAGAAGATGATGGTGAGAGTGATACAAAGGACATGGAGGTGCGGCAAGAGATGGAGCGCGCCAGGGGAAAGATGAGGAGGGAGAAGGCCGTTGTTGAGGATAGCACCCCTGACGAGGATGACGGCGACGACGATGACGATCAGGGAGCAGATCTTGGGGCCTCTCTGGATGGGGGGTTGATGGCCGATGGCCGTCATGGCCAAGAGGGGGCAGCCAAGGCGATGAAGGCGGCTGCGGGATCGAAGAAGAGAAAGGGGAAGGCGAAGATGACTGCCACTGAGGCAAGATCAACACCTTCTCAGCCGAAGAAGAGCAGAGTTCTTCGACAGACGTTCATGCTGGAGACCTTCGATCCGGTGTGGCAATGAGAATTCTGCGACTCCGTCTTGCAGTGGTGGTACATGAGCGGCATCCCATTCGAGGCGGCGAGGAGGCCAGAGTATCATACGATGAGGAAGAAGTTGCTCGAGTCTCCGCCGTATGCACATCCAGCATTGCCCACGCACCGTGTCATCTCCTCCGACGGCATCCCTCAGCAGCAGCGAGCTGTGGCGGACATGGTGGCAGCCATCTGCAGGGACATTGAGGCAACGGGAGCGACCAACGATGTTGTCGTTAAAAATGAAATATTTTACGAAAAGTGAATATACGAAAATGAATCGGGGAACGGACAAAACAGACGTCAACAACATTTATTAGAGGGCTGGAGATGATTTTTTATGTATAAAAAATATAACAACGATTGACAAAGAACATTACTTTCATGCTGCTAACAAAGTAAAACTTCTTGTCGGCAGTAATTACATGTCATTGAAGATCGCGAAAGAAAAATTGTCTTTGAAAGGTTTATAATATGTTGGGCAAAAGGCGACTATCATATGCCTTGCAAAGAGGCCTCCGATGCTTACATCTGATTCACCAAGTTTGCCACTTTAATTTCAAATTTAAAACAAGTTGAGTGCACAAGCAAAAAAAAACTTCGCAATGTCCCCGGACAAATAGCACCCCTGTAGGGTAACCGTGATGATCATACTTTCGACCTAATTAACTTCCAAAACACTGATCAGCTACACATTTTGTCCATGACATACATGGTTCCCGTACATCTTCAAGCATCGTCACTTAAAAAACAACCACATAACAAAATTTAAAGCAACCCAGTTCATGGTATTTGGACTCAGTCTGATAAAATTTATGTATTAAGTAAGTCAATAAACGATCTACTTTGCAGTATTGTCATCATAATAAGCTAATTATCATCTATTGTAAACTGTCCAGTTTTCTAAAACAGTGGTTTCATTTCGTTCATGATGTGTGGGATCTCTGTATTCTACATGCAGTTCTATGGTCTCATACTCCCGCAAGAGCAGATGTATGACATACATGATTGTAGTGTCAACGAGGCCATCAAGTAATACTGTCAACGCCGACTGTTTTGTAATTGCTCTCTGAAATTCAGGTACACGACGCACATCAGCATTAGATGTGCTTCCACGTGCCGAGTAATCGTTATGAACAAGGAATGACGTCGCATCAGATGTTGAAGTGTCAGTGTCACGGTCGTCAGCTCTACCACATGCAACATCGGATTCATATGCTTGTCGTTGCCGCTGAATAGCAGGGGAGGTGCTCTCGCAAGTAGCAACATCGATTTCCAATTCTCGCTTTCTTTTACGAGCACGCGTGTTGGAAGTGAAGACGTCGTCGCGAATTACATGTTCGGAATCTGGAGAGCACGTAGCAAGGTTGTGCATTTCCGCATGACAATTCTCATCCAGTAATGTGCTAGACGCCACACAGTCCATACTTGCCAGCGCTGGATATTCAGCTCTCCGATACGAAGTGCCGAAAGGCATAATGAGTCTGCGAGGAAAAATAAGCTCGTTAATGCACTAAAGTCGAGAACTCGCGACGTATATGACGAAGAGTTAATAATCATTCAACGCATGTGTCAGACACGGAATACGGATTACTCAATCGAAGCGCTGTTGTGAAAAACGAAGAGGTCTAAAAAGAAAACAAAATTCAATATAATATGGCAATCCACGTATGACGACACACATGCCAATAATATCAATTGAGAAATGTGAACGGATTGTTTTCATTTACCTAGTACATCACACATCTTTTTAACATGATGATCATTCAGAAAGCCTTGCCACGATAGTGTTCTGCAACGAATTTTATATTCATGAAAATATGACAAACGAGGTATGACGACACGCATAATGTGAACGGATTGTTTTCATTTAGCCAGTAGACCATACATCTTCATGATGACCAATCGGAAAGCCTTCCATATCAACTCTAACAAGTCCGCGATTCGAAGTGTGGAGCAGCATATGGTCAACGAATAATGGCATTGTGTTTTATTAATATATGGAAACAACTGTCTTCCATAGGACAACAGCCTTCAACGACACACTGCTGTCGGGGAAGCTCGAAGTTGTCGCGTCCCTTACAATAATACTTAACAGGGCGAGGCAGTCTCTAGTATTCTGGACTGGTAATGAACTCAGACACATATGAGTCACCAGTAGCCGCGATCGTGTCGAACACGTCCGACCACGATAGCGCGAGGCATTGTCTGGTATACAGAACAAGCAGCAGTAACGATGGAACGCCCTATGAGAACCACCAGTTTGTGCCAAACAGTCGCCTTGCCGAAGTCCTGACCACCAAATGCACTGTTATAGAGGACACAGAGCAGAAAGAGCACAGGGCACACACCAATTCTTCAGACGGTCGAAAAGGCCATTTGTAGAGGTCGTATCACTGCGGACATATGTCTGGTTAGGCAATTGACAACGTGAGTTAGTCTTCACTGGTATCCCGAAGAGCTCGAGGCATCTTCACTATTAGTAGACGCCTGACCACTGCGCACATTATGTACGGTCAGACCGAAACAGTCTCTAGTACTCTGGAATGCTAACGAACTCGGACACATATGGGCCAGCAGTAGTGATTGTGTCGAACACGTCCGACCACGATAGCTTAAGGCAGTCATTGTTATCGTGTTGAACACGATGACGACGGAACGCCCAGTGAGACAACACTGGAGACTACCCACGCAGTTTGGACTTGACAGGGCGAGGCAGTCCCTATTCTGGACCGGTAATGAACTCCGACACGAGTTGTGCAGACGGTCGAAACAGGCGCCAACAACATTTGAGAACCATCGGTTTGTGCCAAACAGTCGACAGTCCGAAGTCCGGACCACGAAATGCACTATTGTAGAGGACATT